TGTGTGTACTGTATATATTTAAATCAATTAATATATCTACATTTGTAATTTTCTTAATCTGTGACCCGTTGACCTGATGGGTCGGGTCGGGTTGAACCACTGACCCGACCCGACTCGTTCGGAGCTCTAGTATGTTGATCTGCTTCAGAAAGTTGTAAATATTGATTAACTTAATCTTTCTCAAGAGTTTTTTTCAATATCTTTATCTGATGCATAAAATAGATATTTTTTTTTAAAGATTATCAACTGGTAGTGGGAAAAATTATAGTAACACAAATTCAATAAATATCCACTCGAAATGCTTCAAATATGCATTCAATTATAATTTAAAGAATACATCATAAATAGTTTGATTTATTATCAGAGTATGCTTGAATCACATGTAAAAATTCATTGAATAAAAGAAAAACATATAATAATAATGATAAAAATATGAATTGCTAAAATGCGTAATAATAATGATAAAATAATATGTTAGCAGATCCTGCTTATACAACTATATTACATAACTCAAAAACCTATTTTTTAAAAAAAGTTCAATTTGCTTGAACTCTAAAACTGTATTGAGTTGAACTGACAAGCAATTTAACATCCACATATATATTAAATTCTATCATACCATTTTTAAAAAGCTATTGTGTTTCTTCTGATTTTGGTTCAGAAATTATTTAGCTATATATAATTTTAACACAAATAACTTTAATACAAATTTTCGCCCAGCTTTTGAAGTTGCTCTTAATAAATTTGATGCACACATTCTTTCACATACTGCCTGCCATCCTTTTCAGGCAGCACGAATTTCTGATTCAAGCTTCGTTTCAGGAAAAAACTTTACAACAATATTAATATAGAATTTGAAATACATAAATATGAAACTCAGAGGCTACTTTTTTTTGTAAAAGAGAGACATTATTCAGATTTAATAATGACGGATGTCCTAAAATATGTAATATTTCTAATTTATCGATTTTGTTCTTCTAACATTGTTTGTACCTTGAATTTGTTTTACCTGCCATAATTTTGGATATTTATTCTTATCAAATAAATTTCAGCCAAGTTTAAGTCCTTGTGCTATTGCACAAAAAACAATATATTAATGAACATGGTTTATAAAAAGTCCCTTAACACTAACAAGAAAATGTATAATTCTAATTCCAATTGTTTTTCATTTGTTATATTTTTAATATCGCCATTAATATTAGCTTCCTGATGAAATTGTTTAAAAAGGATTTGCTCCTATAAACATTACTAAAAGTTCTAATTTAGAATCAGAACCTATTTTGGAACAAAAATATCCTGTAAATTTAACTACTGATTGACAAAGTATACAGTTGGCACTGGATATAGCAAAGCATTTATTTTTAGAAAAACTTCATTTTACATTATAAAAAGATCAATCACGTGTTGATCATTCCCCATTCACACATAACTATATCATACAAAGAAATAATTGCTGCTTTAAGCTCAATCAGTCTTGACCAGGATCTGAAGGTTCTATTCCACATCAGATACTGGTATTGAATTTTTCTTCTTTCTCTAAAGACTGTGACTGTTTACAGTTGTTCAAAAACCTTCAGATAAATCAATAAAGTTGATTTTCTTCCATGTTATAAAAAAAGTTTTCTATTGGATATAATTCTTTTAACAATAATTCATCACTTGTCAAATCTTTGATTGTTGAAAATCTGGTAATTTTTTAATGATGTTTGTTTCTTTGCTTTGAGCATTATTAGCATTTTCTTAACTGTTAATTGTAGAGTGTATGATGTTGATGCTATCTAATCCATTACCCACAGTGATTGTTACAATTCCATTTGATATGCCAGTGTGTTGATATGGTATATTGTTTTTCATCTCAACAAATAAAAAGCATCTAAATCAATGTATTCATTGATATCATCAATATCAGCAGATCAATACAGGAGCAAGTGATTCCCATATAGCCCTTCAAATTACAGATGTCCAAAAATCTGTTATTAAACAAACAAACAAATCTAATGATCAACTTAATTCTGTTATTGAATTGTATATACAATATTAATAATTTGTTTTCTTTTGAAAACTAGTACTATTACAATTGATCAAGTTGAATGTTTGAGCATTTTCAATTATGAATTCTAACAATTTTTTTCAAGTATGATTATTGTATATGGAAGATCACTATCAGGCATATGCATATTTTGTGGAAACTGAATATTGTGTCAATATTTCCTATTCCCTCCATACCCTATATTAAATTAAATAAAAATAACAAATAAATTAATAATAAAAGATCAAGAAACATTTTTTGTTTTTGTTTAATATATCAATGGTATAATGTCATAAATCCTTTTGATATTTCTTTGATAACTGAGTCATAATCATTATTATCATTTGATTCAAAGATTGGTAGTTGCGTATAATTAATAGATATAATATTATTTATAATATTTGTAATACTGAAGATCCAAAAAATTATTTTACTAATTTCTGGTCTTGCGTTTGTTCAAAACAATGATGTTCATGTATCATGTAGATCAACCTACTTTTTTTTTACGTGCAGATCATTCATAAACATTGATTCTTTTTAAATGAATAGATGTCCAAATTAATTGAGGAAAAGCTAGCTTTCGTTGAGAATGAAACAGTATTATGCTTTCATGGCCCGTTACTTTATGAAGCAAAAGTGATTTTATTAATTATGTATAATAATAATCAATAAATTTGAAAGAAAAATAAATAATTGAAATTTAAATATTTTTTAGATTCTTGAAGTGAAAAACCTTGATCATAAAGATTCAATTGCAGGAAAAAAGGGTCTTCATTACTTTGTTCATTACAAAGGCTGGAAAAAAACGTATATATATACAAATGTATTTATTGATAAAAAAAAACTTAAAGTTTTTGATCAGTATTTTTGAGTAACAATATTTGCATCTTGTCTGAATTAGTTGGGACGAATGGGTTTCAGAAGAAAGAATCATAAAATTCAACGAAGAAAATTTATTAAAACAAATAAAACTTAAAGAATCAAGCGAATTAATTAGCAATAGTAATAATAATATTAATAATCTTAATAATCTTAACAAAACGAAGCCACCAAGAGAAGATATTAAAGTCACCCAACTGGAATATACAAAGATACCTAAAAAATACACGCAGAAACATAAAAGACAAAAAATCATCGATGAAAATAGTAGTGAGTTTACCTTAAACATGTCATTAAGAAAGAAAAAGAAATTAAGTTGATTGGAAAGAAAATAAATTGATATTTTTAAAATATTTTACTTAAAGAAAACAATTCATCAAATCTCAATGAAAATAATTCAGATCAAATTGAAAATAAAGGCGGTAGTATTCAAAAGAGTTATGATGAAGATCTAGCGAAAGACCAGAAAATTGTTGATAATGTATGTGTTTTAATATTTTATTGTATATTTTTTTAAAACAATTAAAATGACTATATAAACACCTCAATTAATTCAACAAAGGATAAGAAATTTACAGAGTTTTTTGAAACTAAAATTATAATGCCACAACCACTTAAAATTAAATTAATAGAAGACTGGGAAATCATTACTAAAAATCAAAAGGTTAATTATTTAATGATTTATTATTATTATAATATTTTGAATATTAGTTCTTATATATATAATATATATATATTAATTTATTTAGTTGTATCAATTACCTCGACAAATTACTGTTGTTGATATCTTGAAAGAATATTTGGATTATAAGCAGAACACAATCAACGAATCGGTTGATAATTCTACAATAGATTCTCCTTCTAAACAATCAATTGTGTCAAATGACGAATCTTCAAATTTCGAAATGTATTGTTATGATTACTAACGAGCTAGTGATTATCATTATAATGAAAGTTACTAACTTTTTTAAATCTCAAAAACTTGTCAGGAATAAAATGGAATTATATAATGAAATTACTGAAGGGATTCTTACATATTTTAACAAAAGTTTACAAAAAATACTTTTGTATAATTATGAAAGGGTCCAAAATACTGAAATTCGTGTTGCTAATCCAGATAAAGAATATTCAGAGATTTACGGAGCAGAACACTTGCTGAGATTATTTGGTATGTTTTTTGACTTTATTAATGCATGCATATATACGCTTATATATTAACCGATTATGCGTTTTTTGAATTTTCAGTTGAAATCCCACAATTACTCTCTCAAAATGAATTTAATCAAAGTACTGCAGAAGTTATTCAATCATATTTAACCGATTTTTTAAAGTATTTATCATTAAGTTATTTATTATTTAACAAATATAAATATTGCTAATCAAGATTTTCTAAATTACTAACATGAATAAATAAACGAATAAAATCTTTTATTCATATAGCTTTCTTGAAAATAACATATCGAGGTATTTCAACACAAATTTTGCATCTGATGAAATTTCTTTTACTAAGAAACCAAAAACAAACAAGAAAAAGGCTCTAGGAGGTAAAATTATTTTAATAGCTTAATTTCGTGTTTTCTCTTTAAATTTTATATAATAAATTATGTTCATGTTAAAACTTTAAATAATAATAGGCTTGACTTGTGCAAATTGCAAAACCCCCAATACACCTAATTGGCGAGCAGGAGAAAAACCAGGACAAAAATTGTGTAATGGTAAAATATCAATTTTTTTTTCGTCTCTATCAAATATTTATTGATTGCTAATAAAAATTAACAAAACGTTTTTTAGCCTGTGGTCTTTACTTCAGTAAATATGGCTCACACAGGCCTGAAAGTCGTTGGAGTAATAATTGTTAATAATAAATTGCTTTGTCCAATTTATATATATGCTTTTATTTGATGTTTCACGACTTGGCTATTCAAATTTGATATTTGAGAATGTTAATAAACAAAAAGTTATAAATCATATGATTTTATTAACTACCTTTCTGACCTCTCTTGGTGACAATTATTATTTGTCATGTTCAGATCATGAATTCCGCTTATTATAATATATAACAAGGTGTTTGTTTGTCCAATGCCAATTGATAATCAATTAGAGTTTTTCAGTGTAAATCATGGAACTCGATATGTAATATATAACGTTATTCAATAGCATCAGAACTAATCTGATAACAATGACAATCCAACTGTTGATAGTTACTTGGAATGGACAAATGGCCAAACTGATGAAATCTACAAGTCAAAATTTTGAACTAGTGGTTGGCTGTTTATTATTCAAGGTTCATTTATAATAAATAAGAAACCAATTGTCAAATGCTGTTAGGCGTCAGTAAGAATTTAGTCAGCAAATATATAAAATATTATAGGTTTCGTTTAAAACTCAAAGCACGGGAGGTTATTGTGAATGCATCACTCTGGACTTTGGAGTCAACATCAAGGCCTAGATGGAATATCAGAAGAAATTAACAAAGGATTAAAATATTTGACTCCTCCGGTGCCATTTCAACGTCACTGGAAATAACAGGGAATTACACAAATTTCATGAAGGTAAAATTTAAAGTGTTTTAATAATTAAATTAATAATATATTAATGTTATAAAAAAAAAAAATAGATAAGTTTAGTATATAATTGGATAAAAAAGTGATTTTTACAACGATTTCGTGCAGAATTGAAGTTTTGTAATCTAGCAAATAAAAAAGATAAATTTTCCTTAAAAAAGTCTTATTATAACAGATTACTGCCGATTCCCTGGTTACCTATCCCGTACTGAACAAGTAGCTGGTGGAAAAAAAGTCAAGAAAACTCAACTTGCTTGCAGTAATCAATTCTGTGCCAAATCACAACGTCCAAAAATTCGTAGTTTAAATAATAAATCAAATTCAGAATTATTAGAAATTTTGCAGGAAATAAGATATTTACATAATTCTAGTGAAAGGGCAGTGTCTAAAGAGCCTATATTAATATCTAGTTATTGAGCTTAAGAAAATTTATTTGCTCCGCTAAAAAAAGTATTTTACGTAAATTTACGTTCCTGACGAAGTTGTTCGAAATTCGACTGCGCCTTAACATAAAACTAAAAATCATTTGCGGTTATTTTCTATATTTGGTTAGCACGCGCCGATTCCGCCGATTGAATTTCGAACACCCGATTTACACTCACTGGTCATAAATATAAGGACACTTGCAGATCACTGGAAATAATTGAACAAAGAAACATGAAAAAAAATAAAATTTTTATTAACCTAACCGCATTTGCTTATTAAGTAAAAATTCATCGCCATATCAAATAGTATAGCATACTGAAGTTTCGCTGCATATAAACAACAACTCATTGTTTTACGAACTTTAAAAAATAAAAATGAATTTTTTGGAATTTTCAAAAAAATCTTTAACTCGAAAATTGACCACAATGTCAAGTTCTAACAACCTTTGCGATATAAGTGAAAAATGCGTCTTATGTTTGAATCTAGTTATATCCAAAATTTTAGATTATTTAGTAAAATAATTGCCAATATGTCATACAAAATACTCAACCAAGTTAATTTTTGAAGATCTTGCAGAAAATTTACTACCTTATATTAATGAATTAAGAGAGGTGAATTATGGCGGTGATGGTGGTGGTGATGATGGTGATGATGGTGGTCATGGTTATGGTCATAGTCGTGTGTTTATTTTTCAAGAAGATAATGCACCATGTCATAAAGCAGCTGTGGCAAATCAATGGAAAGAGGAAAATCGTGTTATACTTCTCCCTTGGCCTGCTCAAAGTCCAGACCTCAATCCTATTGAAAATTTATGGCAGGATTTAAAAAGAAGACTTAGA